AACAGTATATATAAATAAGGAAAACTTAAAGAGGCACATAAATTAAAGGTAAGTAAACCCTACTGGGTCTATACATTGTTGGCAGTAGTTACTATGTTTTGCTTTTAAAGTGTTCAACATGATAATGTTCTTCTCATCTCAATATGAGAAATCTGGTCTTGATAATCAGTGTCACATTTTTATTTTAATTATATCCTAATTACTTTAAGCCTGCTCCTTAATTATTCAACTCTTGACAAGATTAAGTAGCAGGCATTCAGGTATATTTAACTATTAAAATTACTAAGAAAGTAATTCCTCTCTCCCACATCTTTTCCTTACTAGACATTCACCTATTCACTCCATAAATAGTTAAATTAATACTATATTGCATATGAAAAAAAATTTTAATGTGTATTTTTCAAACAAATATTTACTTTAGTACACTGTTAACCTTTGGATATTTACTATTAACTGTACTCAATTGAGGAATAGTAAGAGATCTTTTAAAATTTGGATCAAATTCTTAAACTTTATTGTGTTGTCAGAGTCAAGTGTGAGGGCATGTTAAAAATACAGATGTCAGAGCCCCACCTCAAACTTAATGAATCAGAATCTACCAGGATAGATTTGGGACAAATGAATTGTTAGGAAGGTGATTCTGATTCACATGAAATTTAAGGACCCTGCTCTTGTTTCCATTATCATATTACCTCAAATTAATTAATAATTCAAATTAGTAGAATATTTAAAGGAATACAACCTTTGAATCATTGGGTACATAAAGTAACAAGCTAATTCCCAACTATTTCCAAGCAAAATTTCTATTAGTTTGTTTTAATAATATAGAAGAGAATAACAATCATTATATTAATGTTTGAGCTGACTGATATTTCTCCTGAGTTAATCCACTCCAATATTCTGAAGCATAGTTTAAATAAGTATTTTGAAAATTATCTGTGTATGCTTTCAAAAGTTATAAATTTCTTCAGTGATTCATCTCTAAAATGAGTTGTATCCTCCCTTAAAAATAAGTAACTTAGCATTTTGATTTATTTATCACCTTCTTAGTCACTTTCTAAGTCAGTCCCTTACATCAACTCATGATATCATAAGAAAACATTTGTGAAACTTCAAAGCTGAAAAACAAACCTTGGTCAATGATAGCTTTGTAGATGACGACTGTGAGAACAAAATGAGATGACGCAGGTAAAGCACTTAGCACAATAACAAGAACATAGTGAGACCCCAATAAATATTTACCATTATTTTTCTATAATTCATTATGCCAAATTAAATTTATGGCTAATATCAACTGTTACATCATATTTTTTTGGCATGGTCTGGATTCAGATAAAACTAATGATTATTAATTCATCTATGCACATTAGCATAAGCCCATGTGCTCAGGAACTGAAATAAATTAATTCCCAACAAAACCAGGGATCCCATTAGCCACAAACTCTTCAGGGTATATTGGGACTTACCAAACTACTTTTCTATACTTCTGTTAAAGATATAAAGAGTCAATAAAACTATGCATGGAGATTTAAAACTTTAATCAAACAAGTTAAATACTTGGAAAAATTAAGATTCATGAGGAATAAAACTAAGTATTTACATGAAAAAATGCTAGTAAGGAAGCAATTCAAATGAAATAGTCTAATCATCAAACATTAACAATTTGTAGTTATATTTCCTTGTTACATCAAGAAACATCTGATTTCACAATGAAAGCATTAGGCTGATTTCCTTTATGAGGTTCCCATTGGACTAACATTAAGATTTGTTTCATATGTCAAACAAAGACGGTCATGTAATCATGAAGGCACTACTGTAAGCCATAGTTTCCAAGTGAAATGGTATACTGTCCTAAACTATTACAAATACCTTCCCAAATGGACTACCATCTGTCAGCCAGTCTCCATTTCAAATGCAGTCTATCTGCTATTACATTCTGATTATTTGTTATCTAAGAGATGTGTTTATTGTACCATTTAGCTGGTAAAAAAAAAACAATAGGAGCAGTACCAATTAGTGTACTAATGGCTATATTTTGGTCTTCAGTCACTTTAAAATGTCAAAAGATGAGCAGAACACTTATTTCAACAGACTGCTTCAACAGATGCACCTTAGGAGTAAAAGTAGGAACTGTGATGCTTTTGTTTGATTTAAGACAAAATGGTAATTACACAAATACTTATTCTTATCACCAGCCAAATTATAAACATTTTACAAGAGACCAGTTGACTGATCACCTGAAGAATAGAGAAGACAGTGTATTATAGTGGTCACAGACCTACAACTTGAGATTCAATAAGAACTTGAGCCTTGAGCACAAACCTTCTTTCGGGAAAAATTGTTTAGCCTCCACTAACCTCAGTTTCATCATATATAAAATGGGAGTAATACTTTATTTCCCAGATGCTATGATGTCCTTGGAAAAATAAATATAGACATTTCTAAAATCAGGATGAGCCTGGCAACTGATGTTAAAAGAAACCAGACAGCTGAGACAGAGAAATAATTAGCCTGCGCATGCACAAATTGAGCTGTGAGAAGATATATCTTTGCTTATGTACCCTGACTGAGTTATTTATTCTGGTGGCAATGTACTCACCTGAACTTTAACTTAATTCAAGTTCTTAAGATATCTTTGAAAAGATTCCACTATGATATAGCATTAAATGAAAAATTACTGTGCTCATGGAAGACTAAGTCACATGCAATGAAAATCAACCAAAATTACTAATTCTCTCAGACTGGACCATAAGTAACATTTTCATAGGTGAAAGAGAAGTTGATACGACCAATTCATGCATTCAAACGCCTAAATGTTAAAACTTCCAGCTTACTTTCAAGAAAAGTTTTTTAATCTTCAAAGATATATACTTTGTAATTAAAGACAAAAATTTTACAAATTTAACTGAATAGAAACCACCAAAGAAATTAATTTTCTTTGAAATGCTTATGCAATTACAAAACACTAAAGAGACACAGGCATAGGTTATAAAAACTGCATATCAACATGATGGTGCACATCACTGCTGACAGCCAAAAGTGACTCAGAATAATCCTAAGACCCCACATCCACAGGCTAGATTCAAACATTGATTATGATGTTAAAGGAGCTACGGAATGGATAAATGTTTATTATCATACTAGAGAGAGAGAGAGAGAGGAAGAGAGGTAGGAAAGCCATCCCTTCCTTGACAAAAATACTTCTGTCAATAAGAAGGACCTTAAAAAATCAAATCTGGTAATATCTACCTTCTTCAAGCTTCTTGAAGGTGATTAAAGGAGATTACAGCTAAAACATTTACCACAGTACATTGCACACACAGTAAGCATTCAATGAATTATTATTATTATCCACACTTAAAAAAATACTAATTTAAAGAATGACAACAAACCATACTTTTATAAGCATTGATCCAAATATAATGGCTTAAACTACAGTAATAATAATTTTGTGTTTTTAAAAGTACCTAATTAAACATATTTTTTACCTATATAATAATTATAACAGGAACTATTTTGGAACTACAAAGGTAGACCTTGTCTAAACCAGCTTTTGATAGACACTGTTTGTCATCATTTAACATCAGGTCATCCTGTAATGGTGGTGTTAGTATGCTACTTCCTAGTTCTGTCAGTCATTAAGATTTTACGTCATTCTAGTAGAACTGACAAAAATTAAAAGTTACAAAAAAGAGAGAAAGTTCATATACATTCATCTACTTTATTTATAAAAAAAGTCAGAGACTAGAAAAACAGAAGCCAAAGAGGATACACCAACACTTCTTCTGTGAACAACACGTTTGTTTTTAAATTTTAACTAAATTTTAATTAACTGCCAAGGGGCAATTAATTCAATATTCTTTTAAAACCCAGATTTTCAGCTTCTCATTAAAAAACAGAATCTGGCAACACTGAGCATATGACTATAACCAGCTGTAGCTGAGTAGCAGATACCCCTCTGCCCCACCCCATTCTCCTCAGGTGGCCATAACCTCAACCCTATCCACTTTATTAGCCTTTTATATTACATTTCTGACCTTTGTAAATACTGGAATCTCCCGACTTTTAAAATACACATTCAACTTGTTTTTCTAACCTGGAGTTTCTGAAGAATTGGACAATGGAGCAGATGCTTCTGCTAAGGCAGCTAATGTAGCTAATACTGATGTGGAGGAGTTTCCAAACTGAACAGCAGATACACCCGTTTCATCTATATGAGAAAAGAGATAAGATACACATTTTTAAGGAGCTCAATCTAATGCATTTTTCTGATATTCTATTATACTTCATTCAACTCAAACGAAGCTTGAATACTAGTTTTGTGAAAAACAAGCTGGATAGCATTAGTTTTTGAAAGATAATATTGCACTACATTTTGCAATATCACCTTTCTGTAGATTTTGTCTTGTAAAAATTTGTTTTTAGCCAACTATAACAAAGAAAACCAAGGTAGCTGAAATAATCTTACCCTCAGTCTTCAACAGTCCTTGCTTAAAAGGATGAATACCTACTAAAGCATAAAATCCCAGCAGCTATCCTATATGCATCTCAATACCTGTTGCCTTGGATGAATTTTCTGAAGATACCAGACCTGTTAGGTTTACCACCCCTCCAGGTCCAATGATAAACTGTGGTGTCGCAGCATGTATCGTCACAGTGTCGGGACTCTCTGGGTTTGTGTTGATTTGGTTCTGCATGGCAATCTAGGGGACAAATCACCACAATGTTTTCAGAATTACAACCACGACTTATAGCACAGACTCTCAATATAGTACAAACAGAAAGGAACATTCTGTAATTTAAGAAGAATCATGTAATACAAATGGAAATTTTTGTTTACATTCTATACAGAGTATAGTAGTAAACCATAGGTATGAATTTTTATCTTAAGTTCCCTTACTAGGTAAAGCAGCAAAATCCCATGAAACAACAAATGAGTATCTGAAAGGGTATTTTATAGAACACAGTTGAAAGATATTCTCTTGCTCTCTGGCTATAGATATTAAATTATATAAATCAAATTATTTCCTCTATTATATTCAGCAGTATATAACACTACCTATATAAAGAATGGCCTTCCCAACTAATTGTTCTTAATCTGAAACCTTAATTCCAAACTGCACTCCTAGGAGTAAGAGAATTGGAAGAGGCATGGCAAAATCCATATTCCTGAAACATATAAGATCTTCTAAATAACTAACTGAAGTTCAGTAGAGTCAGATGGTTTAGAGAACAATAGTTCTACTGGTAAGGAGAACAAAAAGGCCAGAAGAGGCAGAAAGTAAAGAAGATAATTTACATCAATGAGGTCTAGCTGAAGAAAAGAGAAGCAATGTTGGTGATTAGAAAAACTTGCCCAAAAGCCATAGGTAGTTATTCCCACAAACAGATTTCACTCAGGATGGTGAAAAATAAAAGAAACCAATGATAATGATAGACCATCTCACTCACTCAGGGGACATTATTATGGTTGCTAAAAAAAATACTTTAGGATTCCAGCTCAAGATGGTGGCGTAAGTATTGCGGCAGAAATCTGCTCCCAAAACCATACATATTTTTGAAAACACAACAAATACAACTATTCCTAAAAGAGAGACCAGAGGATACAGTAAAACAGCCGGGCTGCATGTACACCTGCGAGAACTCAGCATCTCACAAAGTGGGTAAGATACAAAGCCGTGACCCAGCAGGACCCGAGCACTCCCCCAAACCCAGCTCA